TCCCCCAGCATCTGGCTGAGGGAGCTCTATTCCCCCCACACCCAGATGCCCCGCCACTGAACACCAGCCACCTTCACCTGGACCCCCATGCAGAGTTCCATTACTGTTGCACCCAGAACCCCCCAACAAGCCCTTGTGCATCCAGATCCCCCCACATCCGGATCTCCCACTGAGCTGTCCATACCCAGATTGCCCCACACAGAACTCTCTCAATCCCCATCTGGATCCACCCACACTAAGCCTCTCCACACTTGGATCCTGCTTTGCTGAGCCAGCCTGCCCGCACTTGGTGCACCTGGCACAAAGGGGCAGGGCCCTGGGGTGTGTCTGGGGCAGGCCCAGTCCTTGCACTTTGTTAGGGTTGCGTGCAGCCTCACCGTTGAGCCCATGTCCCAGGGAGGGAGCTGCACGGTGATCTCCCACCTCTGTGCAGCCAGTGGCCTGTGCTCCCCAGTGCCATGCTGGAGCCTCCACATTTATTTGACAAATAAAATTTGCAGAATTTTAAAATATTGTGTGCAAAATTTTTAATTTTTTTGGCGCAGAATGCCCTCAGGAGTAAATGATGCCTGCTGAACTAATCACAGTGGAAGAAACAAGGCAGCCGTCCCCAGAAACCTTCAGCGGAGGAGTGCAGAGTACCTCAAAGAAGGTTTCCTCAAGATCTCTATGGAGGATTTTATGGGACTGTGTGTGACTCCATGTTAAGGCTGTTCTAGTGTCTGAGGTGTTCACCCTTGATGCTGGGTTGATGAAATTTAAGTATAGAACTGACAGCCAGTTTGGGGTTTGTGCCCTGCTCCTTGGCAGTGTGTCCCGAGGTTGGTACTCATGCTCCTGAGTCACTCCAGACAGCTTGACAACCTCAACTGAGTTATACGGGGGCATATTCATTTTTGTCATACATATTTTTAAATGACATGACCAGAATCCTCGTCAAGCAGATGTGTTGTTAGTGGAGTCCCTCAGGGATCAATTCTTGGTCCTGCGCTATTTATCATTTTTCTCCATGATTTGGAAGAAAACATAAAATCATAACTGATAAAATTTGCCTTTGTCACAGAAATTGGGGGAGTGATAAATAAAGAGGATGACAGGTCACTGATTCAGAGCAAGCTGGATCGCTTTGTGAGCTCTGCAGAAGGAAACAATATGCATTTTATGGGTGCATGTATACATAAAAGAATGTAGGCCATACTTACATGATGGGGCAGGGTGCAGGGGAAGCTGTGACTGAAAATTTTTTGCAGGTCATGCTGGATAATCAGCTGAATTGTGGCTAAAAGGACCGATGTGATCCTTGGATGAATAAACGGGAATCTCAAGGAGTAGAGGTTATTTTACCTCTGTATTTGGTACTGGTTTAGCCACTGCTGGAATATTGTCTGGTTCTAGTGCCCACAATCCAAGAAGGATGTTGACAAATTGGGTAGGGTTTCGAGAAGAGCCATGAGAATGATTAAAGGATTAGAAAACACTCTTTACAGAGAGACTCAAGGAGATCAATCCATTTAGATTAACAAAAAGAACGTTAAGGGGTGTCTTGACTACAGTATATAAGTACCTACATGGGGAACAAATATTTAATAATGGGCTTTTCAATTTAGCAGAGACAGGTATAACATGATCCAATGGATAGAAACTGAAGCTGGACAAATTCAGACTGGAAATAAGGCACAAATTTTTAACCGTGAGGGTAATTAACCACTGGAACAATTTACCAAGGATCATGGCAAATTTGGATGCTTTTACTAGGAATTATTTTGAGGAAGTTCTATGGCCTGTTTTATTCAGAAGGTCAGACTACATTATCACAGTTGTCCCTTTTGGCCTTGTAATCTATGAATCTGCGTATATATTTAATTTATATATTTAGAGCAGCCTACTTGAATTGCTACACAGGTGAGAAGTAGGATGAGTTACACTGCTTGTGCTGTCTATCAGCGAACAGCTTTCTTGTAGCCTGCTTCTTTTCTTTGGAGTTATAAATTGTAGATCTATAAAATATCATCTAAAGGCAGAAGATATTAAAGGCAAATTCAGTGTCTTGGAAAAATAAAAGGGCCCCATTATTCTGACACTTATTCTCATGCTTATTATTTCCTTTAATGAACTCTCCCCCCCCCATGCTTATCATTTTAAACACGTACAGCTTGAAACCATAGACTTGCTGATTAGAGAACATAAACTCGAATATATACGTCTCTGCCAAGAAATAAGAAAAGGATAACAATGTAAATTGCAAGGTCACATCCTGATAGAAAACAGTCAGATATGCATGTCTCATGAGACTATAACACACAAATGAAACTCTACATTTTACAAAAGAAGTGAACCATTGCCACCAACACAGCTTTGACATGAACATGTGACTGGTGGTTATTCAGATGTCGCTATGATTAATTCATGCTCAAATAAATTGGTTAGTCTCTAAGGTGCCACAAGTACTCCTTTTCTTTTTGCGAATACAGACTAACACGGCTGTTACTCTGAAACCTATGATTAATTCAGTTTGTACTGCTGCAAATAATCTTAGCAGAGACCTGTGAGAACTAACGCATTTTGGTACTGTCTTTTTCACTGATAGCACAAAACCATATAGAGGAAAGCCATTTTCATGATATTAATAATGGGATTACAGAATCAGGTCACTTAAAAGAATGGAGCTGACTCAGCGATAGCAGCATTGGGCAGAAGTTAGAGATTAGTTCTTGAGCACACTACTAAATACAGATCTACTATTGGCTATTTCATTGCATTAAAGCATGTGATCTTTTATAAGAACTATTTTAAATGACAGTAGCTGACTTTATCTCCCCGCTCTTCCCCCATACCATGCAGGAATTGTTTGATAAGAGAGGCATTCTTGCTGTTATAATTATGCTGCTACAGTCACCTGTGAATGTTACTACCCTGTAGCGAGGATGTGCCTTTTTGCAGTATTAAATGAAGCTTCCCCCTGTGATGGTGTAATCTCCTGAAGGGCCATGACAGATTTAGGTGATCATGACTGCAGTATGTATTCTTCCCAGCCAAGAAATCTTGTGAAACTTACTCAATAGAGCGTGCCACCACCGTTTCTTTAAGGGATTCACTGTTCGACCACGGCTTGAGGTAGGAATGTACAGCTAATATTATAGCTCCTGTATTCTGGGGTCTTCCCGTCCCCTACTAGCTTTTATGATAGACACCTGACATTTTTTTTGGATGACAGGTCCAACGAGTTTACACACTTATGATACTTGCTCAAGTGCCTTTGGAAGAGAGAGAGGGAGAGGCACAAACACAAGCTCCCACTGATTTTTTTTTTAAGGTGCCTATTGCAGGCACAATACATGGCAATTTTGTTCTCTTCTTAAATATACAAGGAAGCAGTGGAAACATTCAAATCAAACAGAAAAACTCAAAAGGAACTTCTTCTAATTGCTTTTTTTCACTTGGCATTCTCAGGGACAGGCATAAACATAAATAATATTTTTGTACTTCTGCAATGTACTCTTTCTGCGTTAGTAATAATTTTGCTCATTTGGTGGAGAGAAGATTAAAATGAACAAGGAAAAATCCTGTTTTTTTCTTACGTGGGAGCAACATAATTAAAATGTTAGAAGTTAAACACATTTGGATTTGTTCCCTTATTATTTCTCTCTGAACTTCAAAGTTTTTGATCCAAACCTGCCTAAAAGTAAATCATTCAATACAAGGTAGACAAAACATCATTGTGTGAAAGTGGGTCTACCCACGCAGTTTTGAGTCTGAGCTACCGATGATCTGCAGTAAATGTGATGGGTTGGGAGAAAGCTAGAGTGACGGCAGTAGATAATGGACACACAGTTTGATCAGCATGACATGGAGAATAATTGTGAGGCCCGATAGCTGTGATGAAGACTTGAGAGAGTTGTCTCTTCTTCCATCCGAAGTCCAGATTTCTGGAACTGTTCCAGGTGGTAAATATCTGGTTAATATGGGCTGCCTATACTCAAATGCATCAATGCTTTCTTGCTATGAGGAGCTGATCACTTACTAGGTGGATAAAATAGATCACATTCATGAATGTTTCCTTTGGCTCTATTGTAACAGAGCTATATCAGATGCCTGAATGAGCTCCACTTTGATATCTGTGGCATAGTCAGAGCAAACCGAGACCATTATTGGCTGAAAGACACTAGATTCACACAGACAAGCAGTTGTCCTGCCTAAAAACAATCTCGCCAATTGCCACCCAGAGTCTTTTTTTGGGAAAGATTGACCAAGGTTTTTGTTTTTGTGGTCAAGCTTCAAATGTCACTCAAAATCACCTGTGGGTTTGATACCATGGATCAAATCCTCAGCTGCGGCTAAGAAGTGCATGGTGCAGCTCAAGGGAGGAGGGGGTTAAAAAGGTGGCCTATGTGCTCTGATAGTCCTGGGCCAGCTGTGTGCCAGGTTTCCCATTGCAACTCAGAACAGCTTGAAGGTTGCTCTAAAGTTAGGCTGGCTGCCAGTGGCCTCAAGGGGTGGATACCGATGAGGATCAGGCAGGTATAAGGGAGCCATAGCTGCACTCCATTTTCTCTGCCGACACTTCCTATACTAGCAGAAGGCAGGAGGTAGAGTGGTATGGGAATTGCTATGCTACCCTATGGTGGATCCTCCCACACGGGGGGGGGGGGGGGGGGGCAATTGTTCTGACATGGGCTCTGGGGCTGTTTTGGGGCCATAGTACAGCACAAAGCATCTGTACTCCAGTGTATAGTCTGGGTAATATGTCCTGAAGATTATCCTAGATCCTGCCCCCCTTACTTATGATGAGTAGTATTTTGGTCTCAGCAAAGCCCCATTGAACTCCCCAAGAAGTCTCAATGATAGGTAAGGATACCAGAAAGTGGCCTTTAACTGTTCCTTCAATTTGATAATGAGCTGAGTGGATCTGAAGGCGTATTTCTGTTGGGGAGTCTCTTCCCCTTTTTAAACTTGACTAATCCCAGGCGTTTCAAATCTTTGCCACAGGTGTATGATCAGAACCTCTTACCCCAGACTCCTCACCTATGGAGTCTCCTGAGGAGCCGTTTTCTCCCTAATCCCAGTCAACATGCAGCCACTAGGAGAATTGGTAAGAAGACATACTATGGCAATGGGTGGCAGTATAGCTAGACAGATGTGTACTCAAGTGCCAGCAATATGCAGATGATACACAGTTCTACCTATCCTTTGCCACCTACAACTACCAGTATTGCCTGCAGCTTCATGCACTTTATGCATTGTGTGTGCCATTGGCAGAGGTGAGAAGGAACAGTCTTGGCCACTGCCCACTCAGATTTGGCCCCACTGGCTCTCCATCACGATGAGGGGGTGGTGAGGCCAAACTGAGTGAGTGGCATTGCAACATTTGTGCATAATGTTGCAAAGTCACTTAGTCAGTTGTGGCCTTGCTGTCTTCCCACCATGATAGAAGGGGCATACAGCCAAACTTGAGCAGGTGGTGGGGTAGAGAGCACTGCTCCTTCTTGCTGTTGCAGCCATGGGGCCAGCTCCTGTACCAGGCCTCCCCCACAGGGGCTTGCCTGCTCTCACCTCCCTCTCAGAAATGGGGGGTGACACTGCACCTGGGTAGGATGGACTGGAAGTTAGGGCCTGAACATGGCATGGACTCAACAAGCCAGGCACTGGGGCCAGTGGTAGCAGCAGGGATGGCTCCTCAGGGATTGACTGTGCGTACCCACTGGAAACATTTCTGGAGGTGCCTCTGCTACGGCCACCAAGATGGCCAGGTGCTTGGATGAGATCAGCTTATGGATGCAGAACAGCTGGTTGAACCTGAATCCAAGGAAGACTGAGGTGATGCTGGTGGGCAGAGAAAAGCACTTTGAGTCAAAGTGCAGTCTCCTTGGGTTAAAGGTACACACCTACAATTGGTCAGTTCAGTCTGTAGTTTGAGTGCTCCTGGATTCCTCACTGGTGTTGAGCTTTCTCAGAACAGCATCCACAAGTATCACCACCTACCATCTCTGTTTAGCTAAAAACCTCCATCCCATCCTGGCAGATGATGGCCTGGCCTCAGTTTGACAGATATGGGACCTTGGAAGCAAGGAAACTTTAAAAAACACTATTATATTGAGGTGTGCCAGATCACATATGCACCTGAATTAGTAATAAATGTTTGTATCTATAAATGTTACATGTATCTTAGTGAGTTAAGGATTGTGTGCTAACTCCATGGGGAAGAGTTACTCAGCTTCCCCAAGGAGTAAAACCTGTGGGGAATAATTACTGCAGACCCTAGGACTGGTAAACATCTCAAAGAAGTACAAGTCCCTGAGGTTCAAGGGGCCCAGGAGAAAAAAAAAAAAGCAAGCTTATGGTATAAAGTGCCAGCCTGATCTGGCTGAATGTCCCTAATTTTGATACAAAAACTGACATAAGGTTGTAACAGAGAGGGAAAAATCCTGCTGGAAAGATTTGAAGGAGTGGGACCTGCCAGGGTCTCAAGGTGGAAGGTGGGCAACACCTGGTAAACTTAGCATGCACGTAGACTGTTTATTGGTTTATGATAAGATTGTGTCCTAAAATAAATTTACTGTGCTTTGTGAAAGCTGGCTAGTCACTGGTAACCCAATCATTGTCTCAGAGAAAGTGAATAGCAGGTCTGGACTAAGGGCAGACCTTCTGGGATAATCAGTGAATTGCAGGGAGACTTAAAGCCTAAATCCTTAGTCTATTTGGAAAAAGACGCATGTCCCCACCCACTGAGGGATGATAACTGGAGGCCTGAGACCTGAAGGGGCAATCTTTAGCAGACCACAGAAAGGGACAGAGAAGCAGTTAATTGTAATTATGACACTCCGCTATACATGCGTTTGTCACCTCCTATCTGGACTATAGCAATGCAATATATGTGGACATGAAACTATCAGCCCTTAGGAAATTCCAGCTAATTCAGAATGCAGCAATGTGTGTTTTCAGGGAGCATATCATATATTTCCTCCACCCTCTGCATTGGCTTCCCATAGAAAATCAAGTTCAAGGTTTTGATCCTTATCTTCGAGGTGCTTAATAGTCTAGGCCCAGAGTAGGTGGAGATGGAGACCGTGGTTGACATTTGTCTCCCTAGGCATAATGGAACCTTCCTACCACAAGGGTAAAGCTTATTTATGCAGGAGATAGAAATTTCCTGTGGTTGGTCTGAGTAATAAACTCCCACAGGAGCTAGGAACAATTACACTTTCTGTATCAAGTGCAAGACACACTTCTTTGAACTTGCCATGTTTAATATAAACACATAGCAGTGTGTACATATTTATGGGGAAACCCCCCCACCAAAACTGCATATAGGGTCCACAATTCAAGAAGGAGGTTGATAGGTTGAAGAGGGTTCAGAGAAGAGCCATGAGAATGATTACAGGATTGAAATGGTGATATACTCAAGGAGCTTTATTTTTTAGCTTAACAAAGAGAAAGTTAAAGTCTTGATGTGTCTATAAGTACCTACAATTTTATAATGAGCTCTTTCTTTGTCTGCTAGACTGTACAACAAGATCCATTGGTTGGAAGCTGAAGCTAGACAAGCTCAGACTGTAAATAAGCTGCAAATTTGTAACTGAGGGTAGTTCGCTGTTGGAACAGCTTACTGTATGGAGTGGATTCTCTATCACTGGCACTTTTAAAATTAAGATTGGATGTTTTTCTAAAAGACATGCCCGAGTTCAAATAGGAATTAATTCAGGGAAGTTCTGTGGCTTGTGTTATACAGGAAGCCACATCATGGAGGTTCCTCTGGATTTGTACGGTCTAGGAAGGCTGACAGAGAGAATGAACTACATGGGGCAAACATTAGTTATCTCACAATGCATTACTGGAAGGTGTTTGCATATGGTGACGAGAGCAGCATAAGAACTTATATAGAACACAGACTAGTAGAGCCTCATGGGGTAGGCAATGTAAGTTTAAGATCTGCATTATGAGCCACTTAATCTTTTTGTATAGCACCAGAGAATATGTGTATATTTAATAATAGTTCTTATCATTCATAGAGTGCTTTACATGTTCAGTGTACAAAAATGAAATAGTAAATCCTTAAAATATCCTTCTGAGGTAGGTAAATACTGTTGTCCTTATTTTACCCATGTGAAAAGTGAAGCACGGAGGAGAGGCAACTTGCCCAAGTCAGGTGGTTTGTGCTCGCCATTATTTTCAGTTATAAAACTGATAAAATCATTTCTTACACAGATTTGGAGCAGCTATTGAAGAGCGTTTCAAAGCAAAAGTAAATGTCTAAACAACACGTGTATCTAAGTAATTATGCAGCATGCTAATTAAACTACAAAACTATGGGTCTTTAGATGAACACTGACTTAACTCAAAAGAGCAAGGTAAGTGATACATCAAGAATATAATAATTGTTATCTATGTGATATCTTTTTATCTTTTGTCTAAGAATTTATACTTTGCTCGTCAGCACGGAAGTGAAAAAACTAGAGAGACAAGATGGTGGTGGTGTTGGGGGAGAGCAGCTGGAGACTGACCCTGAGGCCGTAACTGTCCTCATGACTGAGTTTTTGGCTATGCTTATGAATCTTTTCAACTGCAAGGTTTCTTTCCAATGCAAACTTTCGCATAGTCACGTTTTGATTCCCCGTCCCCCCCATATCGCAGCACTACAATATTTTCTTGTGTTATGTGGTTCTTGAAGACTACACAGAAGCTAGTGTATATCATATCAAATTTCAAATGATTGTACTGGATTCAGGTGCAATTCAAGGTGTCAACATAGATTTTTATAACGCCCTATATGGCTTGAGCTCTTAGGTACCTGAAAAATCACCCCTCTCCTTGCAACCGTGGTGAGTTAAGATAATCTGGAGGATGATTCTTTATTCTGAAAATTATGGGGAAGCAATGTGACCTAAGGCCTTTAGCGTGGGTCTTGTGGCCAAGAAATCCTTTATTCTAATCCCAGCTTTTCCACCAACTCTTTGTGTGGCTTTGGGTATGTAACCTCTTTCTCCCAATAATTAAAACAGTGAAAATGTTTACATACCTCTCTATGTCACAGGGGTGTCAAGGATATGCACAGCACTTTGAAAATGTGAAGTGTTGTGTTAGTTCTAAATGTGATGCCTATGTCTGTCTAATCTCTCGTGTGTTTTTTCTATAGCACTCACTTCATAACATTTCATCTCGGCAGAACCCGAATTGGAATTTTAGGACAAGACCTTATGACCCAATCCATTTCCTCAGACTTCTACCCAATATATTGATTATGGTGTTTACATATAGCATAACTCTGAGGTGAGTTCAATTACTGTACTCATATTGACATGTTACTGTGGTTGGATGAGAATTTTTGTATATCATGGAGGGACATTGTGATGAGTGTGTTAAATATAATAGACACATACATGTATACAAAACTCCAGGGATTTTTAAATCATTCTGGTTAGTTTAAAACTGGCTGCATGGCTACAATTAAATTTGTGCTTGTGACTTCCTTGGTGAGAAAAGCACTGGTTGCCCGGTATTGTGACATCCAGCGTAGACCTCTTTTACCAGGCATATGGGACGGACGGCTCCCCTGAGCGACCTTCTAGGGAGAGGAGCTGGCAAGTGATTCATAGATACTAAGGTCAGAAGGGACCATTATGATCATCTAGTCCAACCTCCTGCACAACGCAGGCCACAGACTCTCACCCACCCACTCCTGCGAAAAACCTCTCACCTATGTCTGAGCTATTGAAGTCCTCAAATCGTGGTTTAAAGACTTCAAGGAGCAGAGAATCCTTCAGCAAGTGACCTGTGCCCCATGCTACAGAGGAAGGCGAAAAACCTCCAAGGTCTCTTCCAATCTGCCCTGGAGGAAAATTCCTTCCCGACCCCAAATATGGCGATCAGCTAAACCCTGAGCATATGGGCAAGATTCACCAGCCAGATACCCAGGAAAGAATTTTCTGCAGTAACTCAGATCCCACCCCATCTCACATCCCATCACAGGCCATTGGGCCTATTACCATGAATATTTAAAGATCAATTAATTACCAAAATCATGTTATCCCATCATACCATCTCCTCCATAAATTTACCGCGTTTAATCTTAAAGCCAGATCGGTCTTTTGCCCCCACTGCTTCCCTTGAAGGCTATTCCAAAACTTCACTCCTCTGATGGTTAGAAATCTTCATCTAATTTCAAGTCTAAACTTCCCAATGACCAGTTTATATCCATTTGTTCTTGTGTCCACATTAGTACTGAGCTTAAATAATTCCTCTCCCTCTCCGGTATTTATCCCTCTGATATATTTATAGAGAGCAATTATATCTCCCCTCAGTGTCTTTCATTTTTGGGAAGGTTGTTTTTGTGCATTGAAAATCTTGTAAGTATAAAGGACTTCAGTATATCAACATTTCTAAGCTGACACACACTCACACTCTCCATCGGTATTCCTAGGAGACCATATAGGAACCCCACATGCACTGAAATGCTAATTACGATACTAGTGGCAAACTCATGATCACTCGCTGCTGTGCCTGTTTGTTAAATGCTTTAGAGGGCAGCATGAGAAATATTGCGGCAGCATTGTCAGTACAGATATCAGCTAGAGAGCACTGTTGCATCAGGAGCTGCTAGTTCGGTCTCCACTGGGGGAGACTTTTAATGAGATGAATAGGGGGTTCTCCCTCTTCAATGCTTGGAATTGGGGAGGAGGATAGCTGTAAACAAAGAGTCAGGAAGAGGCGGTGAGAGTTGAGAAGGATAAAGGGGAATATCTTCCCTGGGTGGAGGCCAGCTCCATTCAATCTGATGACCATTATAACAGCAATAGTGGTAATACTAAATTACTGAATAAGCACGCCCAGTGGTACCTCTGTAGCTGCAATGAAAACTGCTTTCACAGTACCCCAGCCTAATAAGATTTAGAAGTTCATAGATTATTAAATTAGAAGGGATGATTGTGTATAACACAGGACACAGGATTTCACTGAATTAAATCCTGCTTGAACTAGAGCATAACTATTTTTTTTTAAATCTAATCTTGATTTTAAAATTTCCAGTGATGAAGAATCTAGCACAAACCTTGTTATGTTGTAGTTTGTTCTAACCAACTTGAGACAAATGAGCAAATGTTTTCATTCTAACTTAAGTCTTTTAAAATATTCTCTTTATTCAATCTTATTACCTTTGAGCAATACCTGAAAAATTCACTAGGGGGCACTTCAAGACTGATTAAGGAAAATATAAAACTTCGTGACAACTAATTCCACATCATTATGAGCTAGGTAAACAGTCTTGTACAAAACAGAATATAAAAAATACATAAGCAATTAAATGTGTATTTAGCAGGAACTGTGATTCAATTCCTGTTTCTCCCCCTCCCCAGCAACTGCACATCCTGAAACTGGACATGCAAGTGAAAATTACATTCTTGTTCTAAACAGATTGTACCATTGTCATCTTGTCCTGCTAAATAATTAGATTTTGCTTTTCAGCACATAGTCAAATACGTACCAGATGGCATTTTGGGGGTCATTCATACTCTTTGGCTTTACAGATATGTGTAAAAATGTTAAGTTTGCTTTTTTCCCAGCTTCTATGCAAGAGTCGTTAGCTTTTAAAATCACTCTTTTCTAAAATTTCCTCTGTGTTTTTCACTCAGAGTTCATCTGTCTTAAGTCCATAGCATCTTAGGTCTCTTCCAGGACAGTACTCTAGAGTGCACCCTGAACAGGATAAACTGTTGTTGCTGCCATGTTATTATTTGCTCCCCTGCCAGGAAGATATATTTGCCAAAGTATTTGGACTCTGAAATAATTTGTCTGGTTAAGCACATTAAAAGGACATAATAATTAGAACTCCTAACTCTAAGGAAATTTCTCCTTCTAGATGGTTTAGGGAGGCTTAGAAGTAAGCACACTAATGTGATAAATGCAAATGACTAACACATTTTGCTACATCTCCTTTCACAAAATGAGAGCATCTTCCTTGTATAATTTCCTGTCATAATATCAATCAACCATCTTTTGTGTTAATTATATGTAGGATAGAGAAGAATACCCATACTGTACTGTACACTGAAACAATATAAAATGCACATTCTATGACTGAAATGACTTGATGTCTTGCAGTGACTATATGTGTCAAGGTTCCTTCCCCACTCTAAACTCTAGGGTACAGATGTGGGGACCTGCATGAAAGATCCCCTAAGCTTATTTCTACCAGCTTAGGTTAAAAACTTCCCCAAGGCACAAAGTCTTTGCCCTTGGATTAGGTAAAACACTGCCATCACCAAGTGCATTAACAAAGAACCAGGGAAAAGAACCACTTGGAGTTCCTATTTCCCCAAAATATCCCCCCAAGCCCTTACACCCCCTTTCCTGGGAAGGCTTGAGAATAAACAAGATGAGCACAAACCCCTTGGATTTTTAAGACCCAGAAAACTCAATCAGATTCTTAAAAAATCAGAACTTTATTAGAAGAACAAAAAAAAGATAAGAGAACAACTCTGTAAGATCAGAATGGAAGATAATCTTACAGGCAGTCAGATTCAAAACATAGAGAATCCTTCTAGGCAAACCCTTAAGTTACAAAAAAGACACAAAAACAGGAATACACATTTCCTCCAGCACAGCGAATTTGCAAGCCAAAACCCAAAAAAAAATCTAACACATTTTCTAGCTAGATTACTTACTAACTTTACAGGAGTTGAAGAGCTTGCATCCTTGATCTGTTCCTGGCAAAGGTATCACACAGACAGACAAAAAACTTTTCCCCCCTTCCAAATGTGAAAGTATCTTGTCCCCCCGTTGGTCATTTTGGGTCAGGTGCCAGCCAGGTTACCCGACCTTCTTAACCCTTTACAGGTAAAAGGACCTTGCTTCTGGCCAGGAGGGATTTTATAGCACTGTATACAGAAAGGTGGTTACCCTTCCCTTCATATTTATGACAATATGCTTATAGCGATTGTTATATAAATTAGTTAGATGACAAATCCAAATTTTTTCTCGGTTTCAGTTTTGGGCTAGATTGTCATTTTTTACCTCTGATCCATACAGAAGAGCTGGTATTACCATGTTTGCCACTAGCCAGCCCCAAGAGTACTTAAATGAAGAAGCCTAATTTAGGTGCGGGACCTTGATGTTTATGTTTATCTGACCAGCTTGTCTGTATAGATCAGACATGGATGACCGAAGAGAGAGACTTGAGAAGACTTGAAGCCATTGAAATAAGATGTTTGAGGGCAGTGAGAAAGGTGACATTGCTGGACCATATGTGGAATGGTATCATCGGGGCTATGGTTTCAGAGAGAAGCAGCAAGAGAGGATGCTGAGATTGTTTGGGCATGTACGAAGGAGAGATGAAAGGAATCTTCTTCAGGAGGTGCTTGAGACTAGGGTTTGTAGGCAGAGAACAAGAGAATGGGAAGAACACGGTGGATAGACTGTACAGGAGGATGGAGTGGACGTACAGTGAGCATTGAACTGGTAAGCTGGAAAAGACAGGGTTGGTTCACTAGATCAATCTACCTTGGAAAAGGGAAAGAAAAAGGAAGGTTGTCATAGTTTATTTCATCATACCAATAATGTGCATCTAGCTGCAGTTCGCTACTACAGATTCCAGTTGTTTGTTTGAAGAGGGCAGTACTACGTGAAGATCTTCTAATAAAGACTGAACGATGCCTTATGTTTGTTAGTGCATTCCAATTTTCAAGCAGAGTGAGGTAGGCACCTTTGTCATTAGTGCTAGCTTACCCATAAAACATATGCTGGAGCATTCCCTCAATGCTTTTGAGGTTTTTTAGATTACCTGTGATGTTTATAATCCAAGTGGCAAATAATTTTCGGTCACATCAAGGTCCATTGCCAGTGTTAATCGTTTTGTGGATTCCATTACTAGCAAATGTAACCTTCAGTTTGTGGATTGTTGTTATACTTTTGGTATTGTTCAGGGTTTTTAAATCAAAGAGTCTGCTGTAATAATCTACAACTATGATACACAATGAAAATAATCTGTACTTTTGTTCCTTCAGGTTTTGCCCCATATCGTCTGGGAAACATCAGCACAACAAGTTGTCTGAATCTTTTCTATGTATCTGGGTGGCTGCCAGATGCCTGGTCTATTCTGGATGTAGAAAAGCCAGTAATATCCGTAGCATTGTAGATGGTAGTGGATTCTATCTATTTCTGACACCATGTAATACTTCGTCTTTTTAAGCACAATGGAGGGCACTCTTGTTGCTAGAACCACTTTTATCTCCATCTGCTCATTCTCACATCAAACATAAGCCTGCTTAACACAAAAG